TTTTTGCATGAAATTGAAGATTTATTTACTATAGTTAATAAATCCGATAAAGGTCAAATATGCGCCGTTTTGTTTAATAACTTGTTGCTATTTTAAACATAATTTCATTATGATCCTTTCCTAATTTTATTATTTCTCGTTCCTATTAGCAAAAATTGAGACAGTTATAATTTTTTCAAGTTTTTCTTGAAGCGAATTTTTCACTAGAAAAAATCGTCCATCGTTCACCTTGGACAGGAACATGTGGTTGTCACACAGTGCCAGATTTTAATCTGGACTATAAGATGGATGCATAAGAAGTGCTCTATCAACCTCTTGGAGTCATTTGCTCATTAACGTTGTGTGTGGCTTGGCGTTGTTTTGATGGATTACAATTCGTTTCCTATTACTCAAATCTGGCCGTTTCTAAACGATTGCTTCCTTAAGACGGTCCAGTTATTGACAGTTTAGTTCCAAATTTTGAGAGTTTTGTCGTAGGGGAGCAGCTTATAGTAGATGATTCTTTGCCAATCCCACCAAACTACAGCAAAACATTCCTAGCCGTCAATTCTGGCTTGAGCACCGTTTCAGCCGGCTCACTGCAATTCGACCATGACCGCTTAACGTTTTTGTTAATGATCTGTTTGTCACCACCGGTCACCAGGCACCAACTGCTTAGCAATGGTTCGAGTTTGTTGCGACACAGCAGTGATTCACCGAGCTTCTTTTTGTATTCAGCCTTATTCAAAGTATATTTAGCTCTTAGGCAATCGAAATACTGCCTTTATGACCGTCAGTCTGATTTGACAGTTACCATGATCTTATCCACATTTTCAACAATTTTTCTTTGATGTAGAAATTGTGTGATTGATTAGCGAAAAACTTAGAGATTTTTAGCAGCTATTTCAATGACCAATTTTTTACCGTAAAGGAAGATTTGCAGATACCGAAACAAACAGTAGTCAGACGGTGCAAGGCTCGGGCTATACGATGGATGCATCAAAACTTTCGAACCAAGTGCCGTCATCAAAGATGTTACGAGTCATCAAAGATGACTTACTTACTTATATTCCGTTAATGGAGAGAATTGCTTAAAATATTTATATAATATATATAAACTTAAAGCCTAGTGTGGGGAAGAGATAAGCCTCCCAGCCATTATAGAGTAAAAGTGCGTAATAGCACTAACTTAAGAAGAAGAATCAAAAAGAAATAGTAAATATAAAAAAAATAATTTATTTAATTCTGTTCAAAGTTTTTTGTGTTAAAATTATTTTAACATTTTATCTAAAAAACTTTTTTTTTATTTTTACTATTTAAAAAAAATGTAAAAACCCAATTTTATTCTAAAAGGCAAATAATTTAAAAAAGGATTTCAAATTTTTTTAGTATATTGTAATATCCTTTAAACACTATTTTCATAACCTTTAAGCAATTTTCTTCTCGACGTGACTAACGAGCACAAGAACCAATAAACTATTTTTATAATTTATTATATTAACCCTTTACTGTGTGCAGTATTGATATGCACTTTTAAGCTATAAGCAGAATAAACAGTAGTAAAATGAAAATGCTGTCATAATAGCGCATCTGTGTGTATATTCCATCGTATTAAGGACATGTTTGTTCTGTAAACATATTTATTTATATATATATATGCAATCTATTTATTTTTATTTTATTTCATTTTGTATTTTTAATGAAACTGTTTGAATATTTTTCTACTTTATTTTTTTTTTTGTTTGTGGTTTTTGGGTTTTGTTTTAGAAGCTCTTCAAACAATGCATATAAATCATGAAGAATGTTTTGTTATCATTTCTAGATTGATATTCATGTGTTTATACGCGTTTCATTTTGCAGTTTTACATTATATGCATTACAGCTAAAATTTATCACCGATTACAAACAAACAAATCAAAAACGATTATCAAATCAAATCGCATATAAATATTTAGATGAATAATGAACTGTAATCTGATTCATTTAGATTTATAAATCGCTTCATATATCATTGTGATAAGCAGTATATATAAAATACTTAATATTGAAACAATATTAGATTAGATTTAGAATAAGAATAAATAATGAATGTTCTTCAAAATACTACAGTTTAGTGTATTGGAATAATTTTTGCTGATTAGAAGAATCTTTCGAAGTACCATTATTTGGTATACATCACGATTACGCTATCAATTATAATGATAATAAGTGCTGACTAGATTAGGTGAGATTGGAATGGCAGTCTTGTATATTATAGTTAAAATAATGGAACACTGTCGTACCACGGCATTATTAACTTAAGCAAGTATCATTTTGTTGCAACACACTTTAATTTTCCATATGCTTACGGAACAGAAGTTCGCTAAACCGAAGTTCGCTAAACCGAAATTCACTAAACAGAAGTTCACTGAACCGTAGTTTATTGAACCTAAGTTCACTAAACCGAAGTTTACTGAACCGAAGTTCACTGAACCAAAGAAGTTCAATGAACCGAAGTTACTGAACAGATGTTCATTGAACGGAATTTTATTAAACCGAAGATCATTAAACCGAATCTAGACTGACTAGTTTTAATTGGTATTATCATATTTGTGCCTCAGCGGAGGAAGAGAAAACGACCATTCATCTACTGTGTCAAATCTTATTAACCACCAAAAGATATTTATGATCTTTGGGACATCCCTTACTCAAATGTCTGTCC